AAAATTGCGACTTTTTTTTGGAAACACGTTATTAAACTGGGTGTACTTATCTACTCGTACTCGAGTATGTACAACCTTTTTTTATAAATATAAAAAAGCAATACTCGAGTACGATGGTTGTGATACTCGTATAGGAGAATATGGTCCGCCGTTATAGTAATACATATACTCAGCATTCATATTCGCATTTGTATCTATATACTCGTAGGCCTTCTTTCCCGCTTTCCCGCTTTCCCGCCTTCAAGTGGGTGGGTGGATGGGGTTAGCCTCAACTTATACTCATACTCGAATATAATACCACATACAGCTTTATTTTACTGATCTGAACTGATTTGATTTGAACTGATTAAAGTACTAGTGATATGTGTTATGTGATACTATATAACTACCTATATTAATAACTACCTACTCGAGTATATACTCAGTATATGATTCGAACTCGAGAACTTGAAAACTTGAAAACTTGAGAATTTGAAGAGGCATGGATGGATAGATAGATAGATGAATAATCTCTAAGTAGAATTAGAGATCTAGGAATTGGGAATTGGGAATTGGGAATCTAGGAAGCAGATGGTTGATTTATAGAGAGTTGAGAGTTGATTATTTTATTGTTGGATTGTTTATGATATTTTGTGATGTAAATTTATAATGTTTTTATTATGAGGATGTGAATAAGATGAGGATGAGGATGAGGATGCGTGATAGGTATGGTATGGTATAATATAGTATGGGATGGTATAGAGGAAACTATACTCAGTAAGTATACTCGAGTATATTGAATACACTGGCAGCGATTGATTTAGAAGAAGAAGAAGAAGAAGAAGAAAGAGGAAAGGAAAGGAAAGGAAATGAAATGAAATGAAAGGGAAAAAGAAGAATGGGAAAGGAGAAAGGAGAAAGAAGAAAGGAGAAAATAAGAGAAAGGATGAAAAGAATATGAGGAAAAGCCATGAAGGCAAGTTAGTACTCGAGTAGAATAGATTTATAATTCCAGCCATCGCATCACATCCCTGACAAGGAACTAGTTGTATAATATAGTATACTTATCTATCGATCCATCCATCCATCCAACCAAGTATCCTCTAAACCACCCACTACCTCCATTCCATTCCATAGTACATCATCTTTTCATATACACCCACACCCACACCCACCACCATCACCATTCCGTACCCTGCCCTACCCACCCAACCATCCATCTTCATCGAATCATCATCCTACATGTATATCATATCATAAAAAGCCCCCGCACCCAGATGAGATAAACAGACAAAAAAAACAACTTAAAAGCAAGCGTATAACCAGACAACCAAGTAACCAAGTAAAACACGAGTGAAAACGCCTATCGTAGCAGTACTCCAAATCAAAACCCTATCACTATCCCTAGCCAGCCCAGCAGCCAGTCACTCCTCACGCTATTCACTCCTCACACCATTCACGTCATAAGCTACCAGAGCATTCTAATCCTTTCCAATCCGATCCATTCCATTTCCTATCATCGCAAAACACACACACACACACACACACACACACACCTTTGCTTAGTCCCTCCCCTTGTCTAACGACGCTTGATAGAATTGTGGTGCTATTGTACTGGCAGCTATGATATGATCAATGATCAATCGCACGCAGACTACCGAATATGAATATGAAAAGATCCAAGGTCCCTAGATACATACGATACAACGAATGGAAAGAAGGCGTTCAAAGACGATAAAAGGAACAGAATGGAACAGGAGCTAGAAAAATGCTTTCGATAAGTCCGCCATCTATACACAGGATTTCGACAACATGATTGTATGTTGATTGGAGCATATGAGATACAACCAAGAGATGGTCATGCCCTCACTCAATCATGAGGAGGATAAAGACCTCTTATAACTCTTGCCGGATTTCCACACACCACCGTATACGGCGGAACATCTCTCGTAACAATAGATCCCGCACCAACCGTACTACCTTTCCCAATGATTCTTCCGGGTAAGATAGTAACACCGCCACCAATCCAACAATCCTCCTGAATAATAATTTTCTTGCCCAAAGTAGGTCCTCGGGATCCTAGTCTTCTCTTCGGATCAATATATAATGTCGCTGTATAAATGTTGACATTAGGTCCTATATTGCAACGATCGCCTATTTTGACTTCGCATGTGTCGAGAATCGTACAGTTCTTTCCTATGGCTACATCTTGTCCTATACTGATATTATATCCATAATCGCATGTGAAGGGAGCCTCGACGACCACGTTATCGCCAACTTTGCCGACGGGAGTGATGGGGGAAGCTTGAGTGGGAGAAATGACATGTTCGCGTGGTTGGAGAATATCGCGGAACTGGCGAGCTCGCTCTTCATGCGATACACCATTATTAGGATTGGTGCTACTATTGAAACGCCAGCAAGCTCCATTACAGCGTTCACGCTCGAGGACTAGTTCTTTGTCGAATGGGAAGTAATGTCGGCCAGCTAACATTTCTTCTTTTTGAGTTTGTTGCCGGATGGCGGGATGGGAAAGTGCTAACTGAGCTGCAACTTGAGCGCTACTATGAGGACTATGGGGGTGGATCTGGTGATTTAGAGGATGAGGGAGAGCAGAAGTAGGTTCACGAGCAGAATTTGGTGTTCCAATATCCGGCTCTGATCTTGGCTCATGTCTGGAAAGATCATGGTAAGGTCCAGCGCGTAGATAATCAGTCTTATGACGATCAGGGTGAGCACTGTTTGCGCTCACAGGAGTCGGGGTTTGTTGAGGTCCATAGCCTGATGCAGACATGCGATTATTCTCCGGACTTATGATTGAAGCACTTGGTAAGGTCGTTACACTTGCTTGATCATCCCCATCTGCCATAGATCTGCTATGAGGATCTACGCGTAAGTTCTGGCCACGATATCCAGGTAATGGTTCCCTTCGAGCTGGTATTCCAGGTTGATTCCCATACGGGGATGGTTGTGTATATGAAGAAGGGCTGTCGTACTCCGTCTTAGATTGTAATGGCACTGGGGTTTGTTTGGTTTCGGACTTTGGCCATGGGCCTCGTTGTTGATATCCAGAACAGACGAATCCACCACGGAGACAATTGTTACCTATGTCTGATGTTAGTAGAATTCGAACAAAGAGTTTTCCGAGTCATTTACATTCTGGCCTAGTCTCATCGCATTTCTTCTTTCGTCTTCTGCATGTCATACAACCTGTCTTAGTCCGATTACTGAAATTTCTCTTCCGTTTCTTGAGATCTGACTGTGCAGATGATTCCCGCCTCTCTTGACTGTATGCAGAATGAGGATCAGCATATCTATCATCACCAGAAAGAGTACGACGGTCGTACTCATGTTGCTGCGCATCCAAACTTTGAGATGCTCTTTGTAATACCTCTCCAAGATGCTCATCGGAACTAGCTTGATTATGCTGAGGATAGTGTCGCGAATGCCACATATCATTAGGAGTCGCGTCTCGAGCCGAATCATTTGCTGACATGAAATGTCTGTACTGTGAATCGGAACTATAGGTTTCTCTCGAATCAACTTGAGGTTGAGATTTTGCTCGACCGCTTGCATCATCTCTCATTCCATCAGATTCGGTAGTCGCCGTGGTTGGTGTTGCTTTCGTCGAGTTTGGTAGGGCATGATTGTGGTATGAGTTTGCTGATGAAGAACTTCGATCAATTGAACCTGATCTTTTACGTTTGTGGGAATTCTCGTCGGAATAATGATTTAAACTTTGGCTGGCGTTCATTTGACGATCAGGTAAATGAGTACGTTCTCCATTCGTTGAAGAAGGCCATTCTTGATCCTGGGTGGTTGTGATGGTCAATTTCTCGTGACCTGGAGGTGAAATCCGAGGTTGTCCATTTGATCGCTCATCGGAACCCCTCCTTGCAACTCCATTCACATTCATACCGTTACTATTTCCATTCACATTGTTCGAAGGCGAGATTTCGGTCTGATTCCTCCCATTCACCGCTGTAAATCTAGCTGTCGGCGATTCCGCTTGTTTATCTACACCGTCTGGACTCGCCATTTTGACAATATTTTGAAAACTCTCGGAACCTTCTTCACTGCTTGAATTGACAACCAAGATTTCTCGAGTTATATCCAAAAGCTCCTGAGGTCCAAGGAGACTATGTTCTGTGGTCATGTTGTTAGGCGCCTTCATTCAAGTTGATTTACCCTATTGCGACAGTGGAAGTTTTAGAAACTAAGGAGAAATTGTATCTTCGGCGGTTAAACGTACGGTATGAAATGATTTTGATAATGGAATGGTCCAATGTAATGCGCTCGAATGAAAATTGAGAATTCGAGTGAAGATCGCACTCCCTCTTAAAATTGTAGACACGCGCTTTCCAGTTCCGGTTTTTTGAAAAGTATCTCTAACGGTCGACTTGTTGAGTTACCCTTCCATTCGCTGATGCTTTGCTGCTCCTTTTTGAGTAGTCTCAACTTCAAATTCAAGGTTTCGATATCGTTGAGTGATATGTTCTTGCGAAAACCTCTCAGCAAGACCAAACGCGTGACCTTATCGAAGTCGTTTCCCTTTACTGAATTCCGTTGAGAAATGTGGAGAACAGATGATATGATGCGTAAAGACGAGATACTGTCTCTTCGGGTTGATTGATTTCGTGTCCGGTATCCAGTTGTATGATCAGATATTGTGATATGAATAGGAAATGGATTTTTGATGTTCTCTCCAAGGTTTGAAAGGTTGAACAAATGATTATAATCGATTATTGTTGATTGAAGTATGTATTCCTTTCTTGATCAGATTGTCCCTCCAAGGTCGAGTCAGAATCAAATTAGTGAATCAAATCAATTGGCGCGAATGATTCAATAAAATGTAGAATTATTATACTTTCATCCACATGTGTATTTGAAGTGAGTTTTCTTTCTTTCTTTGATGAGATATAATATTGAGTGAATGGATGATAGATTATTGGTCCAGCCAAATCGACTTGTGGTGATGTTATGTTATATTATGATATGATTGATTGATGATTGATGATTGATGACCTTGCTTTGCCTCACAGATCGTATGTATTCCTTGAGAATTGGGGTGGTACCAAATGGCGGTAGAGAGTAAAGAAGGAGAGGGGGATGTTTGTCGGTAAAGATGTATTTTGGTAATTAATAAGAATTTCGCTTTATTATTCATATGATAATAGATGAATGTATCCAGGATGTATGTCGTCTCAATAATAAATCGTCAAGTTCCTTAAAATAGATAATAGATAATAGATAATACTAAGAACTTCGAAAGGTCTTTCGTTCTTCGTTCACTCACTCAGTCCTTTTTCTATCTTTTGACCCAGCGGAATGGTAACGAAGAGACGCAAAGAATCAAAAAATTATGACTGTTGGGGTAAGTGGGAATATATTGACCCAGCGTCTGTTCTGTACTACAAATCGTCATGGGTTTGTTTGTTTTAGTGGCTTTAATGTTTAGTGGCTCTCCGTTTTTCGCCCATGTTCCGCGTTTAGCTCGGTAAGATGAACAAATCCTCGGCGGTTGGAGTTCAGGGTAGGAGTTCAGCTTGAGTGCATGGAATGGATACAATGTGGGAATGATGATAGAGTGGGAAGGAGGGAAGGAAAAGAAAGGTGGTAAAGGATGGAAAGGTGGAGGGAGAGGAGAGGAAGAGGGAGAGGGAGAGGAAGAGAGAGAGAGAGAGAGAGAGAGAAAGGAAAAGGAAAAAGAGGAGACAGTAAGGTTAGGAGATAGGTATCTGAGGTATAATAGTCTTTCAAGGATATTGTGTATATTTTTGATACATAGAGAGAAGGATAGAAAGGTAATTGAATTTGATTGATTTAAAAATATACAGTATAATCAATATAATATAAATTGATTGAAGAAGATAATACCTAGTTATATATTTATAAATACCTCATGACCAAAGAGATGGGCCCAACTTATTGTTTGTTTATACTTCTTACCTACAATTTAATTCAATGTTCGCCCAACTCATTCAATCATTCCTGCCTACAATTACCAGGACATTAACATCAAAACATCCATCCACTCGAGTTATACCGTAAGGACTAATATCCATTGGCACGTTGTTAGATACCAGTTATTTTTGGGTTATTTATCGGAAAGATTGAAAGCTCTTCCCCCTACTACTCAAATGTTCAATGATTGATCCAAAATCATTTCATATGATGATACAAACTAGGAACCACTTTTGGCCTTTGCTTGTATCGGAGTGAAAGCTGAGCGGCTGCTCGCCTTTTGCGCAACGATAAAAGCCCTTGTTCTGTATCTTTGATTGGCTGCGTCTCAATAAATCTACTTCGGCGTCTATCTCGATTAGGCAAGGTTATATTAATTTCTATATGCACAAGCCCAGTTTGGCAACAGATTGATTACACGAAATAACAAAAAATACAAAACCAAGATTCAGAGATTCAAATAAATATTCAAGAGGCTTCTTCCCAAGAAGAACATTGATCGAGGCTGTGCTATGATAAATTCGCGTCACTCTACATTATTGTCTGTAACGCAACAACGCAATTTCTCCCTTTTCTCCGGTAACTATCATTTACATCCAGTTATTCTTCTAGCGCGTTGGCCAATATGAGACTTCAACAAGCCTTGATTTGATGGTCGGCCGGCCCCAAAAGTCAACCTAATACTGTAGAAACCATGGTACGGTACTTGATTATAGGATTTTACATTGACCCTATGAGAGGCCCAACGACACCCAAGGACCCAAATTATATTTCCTACTCGACCTTCCTGCTTAACTAGAAGTATTCTACCGCCTTTTTTAGACCCTGCTGCCAAAGACACAAAGTCATTCACTCAACCCAAGCCCGGGAACCCGCATAAAATCATAAAAAATAGGGTCGATGGCGATAGGTAGGATCGAGGTGGGATGATCCGGATGGATTACACGAAAGAAAAACACTGAATAAGTTTAATTATCGGCTCGATTTGATGACTTGCTGACTTTCCCACTCTTACGGGCATGTTTTCCTCTCCCTCTCCCCTGAGCTGTGGTCCCTCGCAGTCATCAACCGACCGCGTCTGTATGAAACCAAAGTCCGAAGGGATCACTAACAAGGATATTGTACATGAGAAGGATTATCAAGGTCCATCCAAGGATTAATTAAACTCGACTCTTTTCGAATATGGAAGTTGGAGCCTTCATCAAATTCGGTATACTGTACACCGACTTGAATTGGATTTGGATTGTACGTACTTTTATTCACAATGGGTTATTATTCTACAGAATATCACGAACAAGTCTGAGTCTGGTATTTCTTCGGCGGCACAAGAGGCACAGAACTTTAAAAAGGGTCTGGAATCTCTTAAGGAGATTGGACCGAATTCAAAAACCAATGAACTGGTCAGGCAGAGTTGACCCGCTTGCAGCGTTAACATATCGAGCTGCGTCTATACGAGGGCAATTTTATCCATTGAAGCGCTGAAAAAAGGTCTCGAAAACGGCCACACTAGAGTCGATCACAGATAGCGTGCATGAGGTTTCCCCTCGATTCCTTATCCAATATCAAATCGTACCTTGTACCATGTCTTTATTTTTTTTCTTCAACGAGAAGGTTGGTTCAGAATAGGTCGCAGCAACCAATGCACCAACAGATGTTCTACATGAGAAATTAAATGCAATGCTGGCAGCGGGATCCATGACTTTCTCCGATTCTCAATTGGGAAAATAATAATAGCTCGTACCCAGGAAATCAAGGAGTTTATCACTGCCGGTAGATTACCGATCACATACCTACCTATCTACTGTAACTTTTGATCGTTGGGTTTCCAAGGTTTTCACTCAATATAGAGTAAAAACCTTCGCCAAATTGAGAGAGGACACATATTACTTCGTATTGACTAACGAATACTTACCAGAGTACACCAAGTATAATCCAAAATTGTATTAGACGCGAACTCGGCAAGATTGTCAATTTGTACGCCTTCCGACGATTCATGATCAAATGATAATCGTCCGTATAGTACCATGACCAGGGTTCACCGCTATCCACCCAAACGAAACCAACGACCGAAATTGAAATGTTACATCTATTTGTGCCGCAGCAACAGCCAGCAGCATCATCTTTCCGATCCGACCAAGGACAAGCAAGCCATGGCATAGCATGGCGAGGCATGGCGAGGCAAATCACACATTCAGCTGTTACTGTACTCATCTATTGATCGCTACAGTACAATCGTATCGGTCGGTGTGCGATTGATTGTCGTTCGACAAGATACGATCCAAGCGACCAACGACGTGGTGGGGATTGTGTTTTCTTGTCGTCTACGTTTTCCTCTTGCTGCTGCTGCTGCTGCTGCTGCATATATTGCCCACATCTCACATCACCCACACCCACCCTTTTTCCCAAGCAAACCAGGTTGGCTGAAATTTTTCTTTATCTTCTCTCGTGGGAGGGAGGGCGTGTCCTCGTGATTCCCCTAACTACCTAGCTAGCTGCTCATCCCCGGTAACTACAGCGTGCATATATTCAAGGCTTCAAGCGACCGGTGCCGCATTGTTTGGTTGTAACCGGACGTACGTTGCTGTTCTTTAGCCGCCAAGGATGGTTGGAGGAGTTATTCTTTTCGTGCTACAGGACTACGGTCTTTTGTGTAAGTTCTCTCCTGCATGATGGAGTGCTAATCTAATGTCCTATTATACCTCAATGGTTTATTTCGGACATTCTTCCAATCTTCCCTACATCTTCTTCATCCTATGAAAGGCCTTCAAAAGTCGGCGACGAAGTAGAAATCAGGAAAGAGAGAAATGCAAGATATTGGATTGGAAGGTATCATTGGATAATCCGACTTGATCTAGTGAACATGCAAAACTGTACCAACCATCGGAACACTTGGATGCACCTTGCCTGCGTCTGCTTGACGGGTTGTTTTGTTTGGTGGGTTGAGTTGGAAGTCCCCTCTTTACCGTTCCAGCGTATGTTTCATCTTGTGAACAGTGGAGAACAAGCAAAGAACCGAAGTGGCACCCAAAACTCAAAGTGGAAAACCCCTTCTTCTCATAGGCCCAAAGCTACACGAATAACAATGTAAGCGTTGGGGAATTGATTACAGCCGACGGTGTGTTGAGTGTGTCATTTGGCGCGGACATGGTGGCTCGCTCGCTCGCTCGCTCATTCCCTGCTGCGTGAGCCTGG